GCCAGATACACACTCCCTGGCAGATTCACAGGGAAAACAAAGCTCCCAGTCAGGGTAATGGGGCTCTCACGCTAAGTCCAAGACCGAGCGTCGCCAGCTCAGGGGGCAGGTGACACTCAAATGGAAAGATGGATGGATGGACAGAGGGAGACACAGCAGAGGATGAGGAAGAGTAGGGGAGAGAGAAAGGGAGCCACTGACAACTAAAACACACTGAGTCTGAAATTAGATTAGCCTCCAATGATATAACGTTGCTAACTGGATTTGGCTTATTGGTGCCTGCCTAACATAAATTCCATTGAAGCCATATGGAGAGTGAGGCAGCGCTCAACACGACCTGCTGTATCTCAGCTGAGTGCAGCCCAGCCGCAGGAACAATGGCACTTTTTATATGGGTTTACGTGCATCATGTCATCCCACAATACACAATATTTCTAAGCGGCGGGGTATTTTTACTTTGCCTCCATCTTTGGTGATGAATGCTAAATGCCATGGCATTACTGCATGTGCATCAGGGAGGCTTTACAAGAGAAGAAATGCCAGGCGCCGTATGTTTACAGTGTAAAATGTAAACCGTTTTGTAACGAGCAGAAACACTGTCGTCAGGTCGTCCACTGACACCGACATTGTCGTTGTTCTTAATTAGAGTTAATCGTCAGCGTAGAAGTAGAATATCCTAGAATAGAAAAGTAATTCATGTTTTTAAGATGTGTTTCCCAACATTTTTACAGTTTTACTTTTCAAATTTGCCAAATTACAACAACCCTGCTTGTGCTATTAATCAGTTTTGCTGTTCATGAATTGTTTCTGACAAATACAAATGTGTAAACACCAAAACTTTAGTCCCAAACCAAACTAGTTCTTCAAACTAGGTAAAGCACATTCAGCAGCAGTTTCCGTCCTTGGCCTTCAGCAACAGTGATTTTGAGTAAAATGAACATGCAATTAAGAAACCAAGTCTTTATGGTTGCTTAAAGTGTATTGTGTGGTTTTTTTTATCACTTCTGACAAGTACATGAGGCTTTTTTTTTTTTCAAATAATTCCGTTTAATGTTCTGTCAGCAGGACATCTGCCTGTACTGCCCATAAAAAACAGGATATAAAAACTTGGAACACAACGGTTACGCATTATTGATGTAGAATTTTTCAGATGACATCTTTACTGCTTCCAGATCTATATTTCATCTTATCAATCATATGTAC